CGCGCGAAGGATGCGCCGCCGGGATCCGGCTGGAATCCGCCGCGACCTCCCGCGGGGCGACGTCCTCCACCGCCCCAGCCCCTAAACTAAGGGGGTGGGGGCGGCGCCCAGGAGAGGAGTGCAAGCGAGAAGTACAGCTAGAGAAGAGCCTGAACAGAGAAAGGAGGGTAAGAGAAGCGCAAAGAGGATTAAGGAGGACCTGGGAAGAGAAATACGCAGATGAAAAGAGAAGATAGGACGGGGGGCGTCCTGGGTCTGGGTCTGGGGTGGTCCCCTCCCCCCAAGGTCCACAGAGCACCCCTGAAGTTGTTGGAATCAAACCCCTTCCCACGCAAATGACAGCGGCGATGCTACCCACGGTCAAGGAAACCGGGAGAGGCAGAGAGGAGGAGAAAGGGAGAACAGCTAAGGAGACATGGGGAGGTAGCAAATGGAGAAACGGGGAGGTGCAGAAAGAAAAGGAATGGAGAAGGAGAAGGAGGGCCTAAGTTTGATCACCAAGGTCGGGGATGAAAGGAGAAAACAAAAAGAAGGAAGGAGTGCAGGAAGAGCAAATTTAGCTGGTGAGGAGAGGATGCGGGTGTCGAAGAAAGGCAAGTATGAGAGAGGCTGGGCCCCAAGGGCAGCAGTGGAAGCCGGTCTCCAGCCTCTGACCCTTGGCAGGACTGTGCATTTCCCAGGCAGCAGGAGAGGCAGGGACTGCAGGGGCAGAGGCCTGGGCAGGCTCAAACCGAGCTGGGTGGGACAGAAAAGGGATCTCCACAGGGACCCAATGGCCTGTCCCTCTTCCTCTCCCTTCCCCCAGCCTGGGACAGAAGGAGAGGGATGGGACATTTTCCAATTCTCTATTTATAACTCCAATCTAGAAATGAGGCTAGGAGGAGAGATAGAGAATAATTTGACAAAAACTGGAATGCTGCTGACTCCCACTTTCCCTTCCTACTTCCCTTTATTGATGGTGTCAATAATACACACACACACACACACACACACACACACACACACACACACATATATACACACTCTTTTTTTTTGGTACACGGGAATTGAACTCAGGACCTTGTTTGTGAGGCAGGCAGCTGAACCACTGAGCTAAATCCCCAGCCCTCAATTTCTGTATATGTCCATTCTCTCTCTCTCTCATCCCAAACTCTTGCCCCCCACCTTCTTCTCTGTCACTCTTGAAATTGTTCTAAATGTCATTGTCTCTGTCCTTCAAATGTTCTTTTATGATTCTCTCCTTTCCTATCTTAAAAGCTCTAGGATGTGTGCAACCTAACTCCTCATGTTCCCATATTCTCTTTATCTGTCTCTCATTTTTTTGTTTTGTTGTAGTTTTGGTTTTGGTTTTGGTACCAGGGATCGAACTCGGGACCTTGCACTTGCAAGGCAGATGGCGGAACTGCTGAGCTAAATCCCCGGCCCTGTTTTTTGTTTTTGAAACAGGGTCCCACTATGTAGTTCAGGATGGCCTTGAACCCATTATGTAGCCCAGGCTGGCCTCAAATTCATGGCAATCCTCCTGCCTCAGTTTCCCTAGTGCTAGAATTACAAGCATGTGCCACCATGTCCACCTCCCTTTGTTTCCCTTACCTCTTTGTTCAGAGTTATACTTTATTTTTATTTGTGTATGTATGTAGTCCATAATGGTACATTCCTTGAGGGGAATTGGTAAATGTACATAACACTAACGCATCTTAATTATTTTTATCTGCTTTCCATCTGCTCCCTCAGAGATATATATATATATTGTACCAAGGATCAAACTTAGGACCTTGTGCTTGCAAGGTAGGCATGGTGCCACTGAGCTAAATCCACAGCCCAAGGTAATAATTCTCAAAGAAAAAAATAAACAAACTGGAGGCCCTTTTTTTTTAATGGTTTTTTTTTTTTTTTTTTTTTTTTTTTTTTTTTTTTGTACTGGGGACCAAATTCAGGACCTTGTGCTTGCAAGGCAGACAGCAGAACCACTGAGCTAATTCCCCAGCCCCAGCTAAATTACTCTGAAATGCATTCGGTGCTGTGGTCCTCCATTTTATACCTCAGCCATGGGTGTTATGTCCAGGGCAGTCATGCACCTCTAAGCAGGTGCTACAAAGAAATCCACGTGTGATGGAAGGGCTGGCCCCAGGATGCACCACTACTCCCATTAACCATCTTTTTCTGTGTCAGAGTCCCAGACAGTAGGAAGGAGCTGACATATGAATGCAGAATTGTAAAATCAAGACAGAACCAGGACTCCAGACTTGAAGCCCAGACTTCAGACCTGAGTCCAAATGTCTCGAGAGTCCCTGCTGCCTTCACGTCTGCACCTGCAGCTCCTGCCAGCCTGGTCTCCACTCCACTGGCTGCCAATAAATCCAAGGCTGAAATCGGATGCCAAGATTCTGCTTCTGACCTCCTGTGTCCAAATATTTGAGAAGTCACTTCACCCGCCAGAGGAGGAAGGAATAGAAAAGAAGTGAGATTGGCCTCCCAAAATTAGCCTGGCTAAAAATAGTGGGAGAGAAGGGAACACACAAGAGCATTAGACCAGCCTAGTAAATATAGACAAGTAGATTTTCCCTAAAGGAGAACCGAGACCAGAATGTTATAGTAGAAAGTAATAATGAAAACACTAGAGCAATCCATGGAAGCTTAGCATAAAAAAATCATAATCTGCACAGAACTTATTATGTTGACAGTTTATAAAATAGTTAAAAACCAATGAAGGGAGCCAGGGATTTAGCTCAGTGACACCTGGCCTACCTTGCAAGTTCAAGGTCCTGAGTTTAATCCCCAGTACCAAAAAAAAAACAATGCTCTACCAGGTGTGGCAGTGCAAACCTATAATACCAGCACTCAGGAGGCCAAAGCAGGAGGATGATAAGTTCAAGGCCAGCCTAGGCTACATACCCTATTCAAGGCCAACATAAACTACAGAGTGAGGTCCTGTCTCAAAACTAAAAATAAAAAGCAATGCTCAGATTAAGGATGTGGCTAAATTGCAAAGTGCTTGCCTAGCAAATGCCAGGTCCTGAACTCAAGCATCAGTATGGGGGGGGGTGGAGGAGCTGATATTGCATTATTCCACTCATGTAACATTCTGAAAACCAAAACTACAGAGATGAAGAACAAAATATTGATTGCCAGGGACAAAGATAAAAGGATAGTACAAGCGAGGCTCTTCATGGTAATAAGCTCTGTATCTTGGTTATAGCAGTGGTTATCTGAATTTCTACATGGGAGGCTGAGGCAGGAGGATCACAAGTTTGAGGCCAGCTTGGGCTATTCAAGGCTAGCCTCAACTACATAGTGAGACCCTGTCTCAAAAATCAAAACAAATATAAAAAATTGCATAGTACTAAACATACACACAAATGCACAAGTGCATGGTAAAATCGAGTAAGGCATGTGACCTAGTTAACAGTACTGTATACCATTGCCAAGCATGGTGGTGCACACCTGTAATCCCAGCACTTGGGAGGCTGAGGCAGGAGAGTCACCACAAGTTCAAGGCCAGTCTGATCTACATAATGAGACACTGTCTCAAAAAAAAAAAGAAAAGAAAAAGAGAGAGAGTACTACATAGCAACGTCAGTCTCCTGATTTTGACACTGTATTCCCAGTTACATACCATGTCCCTCACCCTTGGGGGGAGCTGAATGAATGGTACAAAAGACCACATGCACTATTTTTTTTTGCATTTTTTTTAGTTTATTGATAATTGTGGGGGGGGTGTAACATTTATCATAGGGAATAATATTTCTTGATTCTTTTTTCCCCATCCCCTTCCCTTCAACACCTCTTCAACTCCTTATTTACAAAGTCTTTGCTTCCATTTTTTTACTTCTATTCTTTTTCACATGCATTATTTCTGCAACTTCCTGTGTCTCAAACACATTTCAAAATAATTTCAAAAATTAAAAATTGTGAAATGTCCAGATCCAGCAAAGACTTTGGCCCTTGTCAGAATAGACATGAGGCTTTCTCCAACCCTTTCTCCTGCTAACATTTCCTTCCCCTCTATCTGGAATCCCTAATTTCAGCTCCCCAGATCACACTATTTCCAGCTGTTTTCTCTAGCTTACACAAGCAAGTGCTTCCATAACGCACAATAGAGAGTTAACCTCTCTCTCCACCTCATCTGGCAGAGAGGCTTTGAGTGTGTGCATCCCAGGGTCAGGCTCTCAAAGCCCAGCACACAGCATAAAGACTTTCTCACCCCACCCAGTGCTCCAGCACCAGAATTCTTCTGCCTGCCTCTGGATTCTGGCTCTAGTCAGAGCCTGAACTGTGGGAGTGGCTTGGAGAGGGAGATAAATGGGACTGAAGGGAGTCCATGGGGAAGTGGCTTGACCACTCTGGTCTTTGAGGACCCAAGAGCAGCCCCTGCATCTCAAGGAGAGGACTGGGAGGTCATTTCCCACAGGGCGCCATTTAGACAGTCTTGAGGGCCCCTTTTCTTTGAGTCCTGGCTTCAGGCCAACATTTGGAACTTGGCCACACCACAAACGGCCCCCTCTCTTGAAGCCCAGCCAGATTTCCCAGTGTGTGAAGCCTCCACTCCCTCCATGTCTCCCACAGTCCTCACCCAACCCCTAACAACTCAGCAGCTCCCAGTCCACGGCTTGGCCCAGCCAGCCAGTTTGGAGTTTGCTCATTAAAGCTAACTCTGAGGGAGACCTCAAAACAGGGAAATAGAGAAAAGGAGCACGGAGTTCCATTTATTCTTCCTAAAGGAAAATAATCTGGGTGGCATTTATAGGGAGAAGTAGGCAGAAAAGAGGTTTCACAGTTCGAGAGTCTCTGGATATGCATGAAACTTGTTCCCATCTCTAACAAAAGCAGGTGCAGCTGAGCTTCAAAAGCAACAGAAACTGGGGTTAGACAGTGAACAATAAGGGCCCAGGAAAAGAAGAGATGGAAGATGTCCCTAGGGAGATCTGCTAGAGTCCCCAGCTATAAGGCACTGCCCATCTCTAGGGCAAAGGATCAGCCAGTATGTGGGAGAGGAGGGCAGGGCTGATGTCTGCAGATTCCTGGCAGACTCTGCACTGATTGTGAAAATGTCAGGAGGGTGTGTCCAAGGGGTGAGGGCAGCACTGCAGGGGCCTGATACTCTCCTCCAGTTGGCCTATTCTCATTGCACATTCAGCCCAAAGACCCCAACACCAACCACCTCATAAGCCCCAAACCTCCATTTCACTTTCTCAGGTCACCATCCTGCAGCAGCCATGCCAATCCCTGTCTCTCTCCCTCAGGCCACATAGCTCTGGGAGTGAAGACCAGGCATCTTCCAATCTGCCTCTGTTCTGCTTGCTCACTGCAGTAGGAAGTAGGGAGGGGAGGACTGGGCCAAGCTGCCTGGTGATGCTCTCACTCTTCCCGCTACTATTGATCATCCTTCCCTGGAGCACACCTCTTCCCAAACACTCCCACTGCCAGGATTCCCTTCCACTCATGCCCACTCACGCCCACCTAGCTATCGGGGCACAGTGAGGAGACAGGGAGCTGCCCTACAAAGTGCTTCCTGGCCTCCCCAGCTGGGGTCTCTCCCAGGGTTTCTGCAGAACAGAGGATTACACTGAGGCTCTGGACTCAGCTCCAGTTTGTATCTTAGCTCTATTATCTAACTGCTCTGTTTGTCAGATTCTTCATCTGAAAATTACAGGTAACAATAATGATATTTCACAAGATTGTCTTAGAAGGTAGGAGTGGTGGTACACACCTGTAAGCCCTGCACTTAGGAAGCTGAGGCAGAAGGATTGCCATGAGTTCGAGGCCATCCTGAACTACATAGTGAGACCCTATCTCAAAAAAAAAAAAAATGTTCTAGAGACTAAATGAATTAAATCATTTAAAGTGCTTGACCTATTTATTGTAAGTGACTAGAAAATGTTGAGAAAACGTTCATAATATGCATATTAGCATACAGACACACAGTATCCAAAATTTTTACTTAGTTTGGGGGGGGGTTGTTTTTTGATTTTTGTTTTTGAGATAAGATCTCACTATGTAGTCCAGGTTGGCCTTGAACTCACTACGTAGCCTGGACTTGCCTTGAAAGAATGGTAATCAACCTCCCAAGTGCTGGCATCACAGGCATGTGCCACCACACCAAACAATTTAGATTTTTGTGTTTGTGCTCACTTTGGCAGCACATACCCTAAAATTGGAAGATTTTTGTGTTTGTGAGTGTGTAGGTATGTGTGTGTGCACAGTGTCGTGGGTCAAACTCAGGGCCTTCCAGGCAAGCACTCTACCATGTAGCTACACCCCAGCCTGTATTTAAAATTTGGCAGGTACTTAATGTTAGGGTACTATTTCACAAATAGATGAATGAACTAATCAATCACTAATTCTCAATTTTACTCCAAAAATTCAAAAAAGAATTTATTCTAATTCAATCAGTACTCGGTTCTCCTCTATCTGTAGTAGATATAATGAAATCAGTTTCCACTATGAGCCAGGCATGGTGGTGCAAGGCTGTGATCTCAGCACTGGGGAGGCTGAGGCAGAAGGATCACCACAATCCCAGCCCTTGGAAGGCTGAGGCAGGAAGATGGCCCAGAGCATGAGGCCAGCCTGGGCTAAACAGTGAGTTCAAGGCCAGCCTGAACTACATAGCAAGGTCCTGTCTGATAAAATAAAATAAAATTTTCAACTATTCCACTGAATCCTCAAATGAGTAAATGCCAAAATGGGAAACAATCTTAGATATTGTTTAGGCCAGTGATTTTCAGCCTCAGATGCACATCAGAATCACCTGAACAGCTTTTTAATAAAATAATAATGTTCAGTCTCCACCCCTCAGAGAATCTATTTCAATGTAGGATCAAAATGTTTTTGGGATTTGTTTTGTTTTTTGGAGACAGGGTCTTGCTATGTAGTTCATCCCAGCCTTGAACTCACTATGTAGGCCAGGCTGGCCTCAAACACTGGGCAAAACTTCCTGCTCAGCCTCCTGAATGCCAGTATTACAGGTCTGTCCCACCACATCAGGCCCAAAGCTTTGGGGGGTGGGTACCAGGAATCAAATTGAAGACCTTGTGCTGAGGACCTTGTGCTTTCACAGCCCCAGCCCTAGCCCAAAGCATTTTAAAAGCTCTCTCCCATGTGAATTTAGCCAGGGTTGAGAGCAACTGAGTACAATCTCCCCATTTTACTAAAAAAGAAAAGTAAAATCCATAATGAGTGAGCAAATTGCCCATAGTCACTTAGCATGATAGTGCAAGACCTTGATCGGGGAGTGGTAGTGTACAACTAATCCCATCACTATGGAGGCTGAGGCAAGAGGATCCCTGTGAGTTTGAAGTCAGCCTGGGCTATACAGTGACATAGTGAGATCAAGGCCAACCTGAACTACATAGGGAAACCCTGTCACAAACCCCAGTCCCCGCCACAAGCTGAGCACATTGGTGTGTACCTGTAATTCCAGCTACTTGGGAGGCTGAGGCAGGAGAATTATGAGTTTGAGGGCAGCCTGGTAAATAAAGCAAGACCTCCATCTAAAGAAAAAAAAAAAAAACTACTCTGACTTGTTTGAAATCCATGTGTATTAGACTTCTCTTGACTGCTTTCTATAATCTCATATATACCTCCTATTTTTGGTGTGCCCACAGCCTGGACTTAATTTGTTTGATCCACATTTCTATCACTCGGAGTTTTGCTTAGTAACATGTAACACTTCTGATTGGAAATTTGCAGTTTCTTTTTCTTTTTTTTTTTTTTTTTTTTGCACTGGGGATGGAACTTAGGTCCTTTCGCTAGCTAGCGAGGCAGGGAGCGGAGCCACTGAGCTAAATCCTCGGCCGGCGATGTCTATAATTTTTGTTGGGATTACTCCTGGAAGCATTCCTCTTTAGTTCAGAGAGGCACTATATAATTTACCTTCTACTTTGGCAGAAGCACTTAATGCTTCTGCTAAGACTAATTGGGTCCGCATTCCCTGACCACAAAAGGACAGAGATAGAATTGTACCACACGCAGCTCGCCAAATAGCAAAGCGCCATAGAAGGCCGATGATTAAAATGCTTCCCCACAGCGATCACCCAGAGCTGAGCGACCTGGTGGGGCAGTAAGAAGAGAGAGGGCTAGAAAAGAGGAAAGCATTCTCTTCTAAGGGAAGGGAGCTGGAATCAACTGAGAACCCGCAGCACTGCCAGGAAGTACGGCCAGAGAAGGAAAAGAATTTAAATGAGCTCAGGGAGCTACTGCTACCCCAACAGCACTATGATAGCCACTCTGGCAATACCAACCCTCTCAGGGGTCTCAGAGCCAACAGTGATGTTAAAATTGGCTCTGCAACATGGGCACTGAAGCACGCTAATTCCAACAAACGACAAATAGCGAGCGCCCAATAAAGAGCTCACCGACCGCGCCAACCCTCTACCTCCCTTCCTAGCCAAGATCTGCACAACTGAACACTTCAAGACTCTGAGAGGGCGGTCACCGGCCTCACATGACGCCGCTGTCACGTGATCAGGCCCCGCGGGAGCCGCGGCGCCTTTCCGTCCCGCGGCTGCAGGATTTCTTAGGGGGTCCAACCCCCCGGCTCACGCCACCATGCTGTCCCGCCTGCTCAAAGAACACCAAGCCAAGCAGAACGAACGCAAGGAACTGCAGGGTGAGCGGAAAGTCCTGTCGGCCTTCTCCCTGGCCGCGGCCTAGCTTCGGCTCGGAGCCTGGACCTCTAGTACCTGCCCAGATCCGGGGAAGGGCGCGTAGTAACGGGCAGCCCGAGTAGAGGAGAGGGAGTGGGGCGGCTCTTCTAGAAATTCCGTCCCCTTGCCCAAAGGACCTTTGGCAGCTCTTGTCCCCTGGGAAACGCTCCCCACTCCCGCCCGAGCGTCATCCTAGCTCCGCCCCTCACCCCTGGGTCGCTTTGCCTATTGGTCGGGGGAGCCGGGTCCTGGCTGCTGGAAGGAGAGCCGCTGGCTGGAAAAGGGCGTCGGACAGCTCCGGAGACTGTTCTGGGAGGCCTGAGGCTACCAAAGTGAAGGAGCACTTCTCTTCTCAGTCCAGACTGGGAGTCCCGGAGTTGCTCATCCTTTGAGCAAGATAGTGAGAAAGAGTGCCTGGGAGTCAGGAGACCTGGGCGCTGTCACGACTCGTTGGCATCCCTGAGCGAGGAAGTCTAACCCCTGCAGGATACCACTTTCCTCATCTATAGTGAAGGGGGTTGCTTTGTGTTCCGCACGGATGTTTCCAGTTCAGGCCCTCTGGATCTAGCTGGATGTTCCGGGAACTAGCAGAATAATACTGAAGGGGTGGGAAAGCATTCGCAGCACCCCCTAAGAAACCCAGGCTTCACTCCAATACCTTTCCTTCCTCCCCCAGAAAAGAGGAGGCGAGAAGCTATCACTGCTGCGACCTGCCTGACAGAAGCTTTGGTGGACCACCTCAACGTAGGGTATGAGCCTCTTCTCCCATGACACCAGTTACCTCCCCCACTCATCCATCACCCAAGTTAGGCAGTAGCAAGGTGTCAGAGCCTCGGGCTGCTGTTGAAGGTTTGGGACAGTCCACTTATTCCCCGTCCACCCTCCAGCCTCCCAGAGTAACTTAATGGAGACAGGCTTGAGTCAGCTCTGACCACTAACACTGGTGAGGAAGTAGCAGCTGCAGTGGTTGGAGATGCAGCCAGATTTCTCCTCCCCACATTAAGTTGCCAGCACAGCTTGATGCCATCTGCCCATCTCCCTTGTCCATTCCAAAGTCCAGCTGTCACTTCGGCAGGAGGACAAACACCCACTTCTTCACAGTTTACCACCCTCTCCTCTTCCAACCCTCTGGCAAGCCAGGAAAACAGCTGGCAGGAAAGAGATGGCACAACTGGTGAGGGTGAGAGTAGAACCTGTGCCAGGAGCTATGGCAGAGCCAGGCTGCTTCTTTGCTTCTTTCTGGGCCTCCAGAGACTACCCCCTTACCCAGCCCTAAATCAGATGCCAACAATAGCCAAGGATTTAGGAAGAAACAAAGAATGTTGACTCTTGCTGTGTGACTCAGAAGAGTGCAGAGATGACTATTTGATAGTCCGGCTGTTGGAAGAAAGGAGGCAGTATGGTGCCTTCCATCCCAGCGTGCTCAGAACAGCTTGGCTGTGAATCCAAAGACTGAGTTATCCAAGGGAGTCATGCAAGGGCTGGGGTCATCTTCATTACTCATCTGGAGGGAAACTGGGAGAAAGAAAGACTGTGGTTCAGAACCTTGGACCCACACCCCTGCCCACGTGGGTGCCCCTGGACTCTGCTGTGCCACCATTTGTGAGGTTGGCTCAGGCTTTTTTTTTTTTCCTTTGCTAGAGGCTATTTCACTTTAGCTTAGAGGGCAGCTAATGCAAAGCCAGATTAGAAAGGGTTTTGTTTTGCTGCCCACAGCTCCTCCTATTCCCCAGGAAGGAAAACAAAGGCTCAGTCTATCTTGGCCCTGGTCAGGTGTCCTGCCCACTCTCTTGACTTCCCCCAGGCCCTTGCCTCCTTTGGCCCCCACACATTCCAGTGGGTGGGAGCACCGGATGTGGAGTCTCCTGCCTGACCGAGAGCTTTGGGATGGGGAGTGAAAGATTCAAGGGCCAGTAAGGCAGAACAATTGTTATGGAAAAGGGAAGCACAAAAAAGATTGGTGGAGGATTGAGGACACCAACCCTGTGGTCATAATGGTAACCACAGCTAGTACCTTGATTGAGGAGAATGAGTAGAAGGGAGGGAATGTGTGTTTGCTCATTGTGGGTGAAAGGACAGGACTGGAAGAGAGCCAGGAAGAAATGCCTGGGATAGCCTCTCTCTCTTGCCCAAGGGTTTCTGGGGAAAGGGTTTGCTGTCCCATCCCACCCCAGACTCAAGAAAGGCCTAATTTCCCTTTCCAACTTCTTGCACTTATCCCTGGGCTTCCAATCATTGCCAGATGTGTCCTTGCTGCCAGATTTTCCAAGCACTGCCACACCTCCTTTTCCCTCCCAGTTTCTTTCTCAGGGATATTTCCCCCCCAGATTAAACTTCCTCCCCCCACCCAGCTTCAAGAACTCCTTTGCGGGTTAAGAGAGGGTGTGTTTCTAGTCAGCTCCCAACTTGGCACTCCTGGGAATCCTGGGAGTGGAAGAAGGAGCTGGCTTCATTTGCATGTATGATAGTAGTTTTATGCATCCCATCCTGTAGGCCAGAATCACAGTGTTTTCCCCAGCCCTGACTCCTGGCTTGCTTCCCACTACTACAAGGGAATATACAGTTCTGGAGATGAAGCTCCACCCATCCCATTGGATGTGCTGACCTCCTCCCTCCTCCAATCTTAGTGTGGCCCAGGCCTACATGAACCAAAGAAAGCTGGACCATGAAGTGAAGACCCTGCAGGTCCAGGCTGCCCAGTTTGCCAAGCAGACAGGCCAGTGGATCGGGATGGTGGAGAACTTCAACCAGGCGCTCAAGGTGGGCCGTCCTCTGCATGTCACTGCTCTAATCTGAACTCCCATTGGCTCTTTCAGGCTTTGGTTAAGAAAGAAGTAGGGCCAGGCGTGGTGGAGCACACCTGTAATCCCAGCACTCAGGAGGCCTAGGTAGAAAGATCACTGTGAGTTCGAGACCAGCCTGGGCTACACAGTGAGCTCCAGAGCAGTCTGAACTACATAGTGAGACCCTGTCTTAAAAAAACAACAAAAAAGAGAAGTAGGGATGGTCCCAAATACCCCATCTTTGGCCTCAGTGTCAGGGAAGCTAAAGAAATAAAAGCTGGGTTTGGGGCATAGCTCAGTGGTGGAGCACATGCTTGCATGTGCAGGGCCCTGGGTTTGGTCCCCAGCATCACTACAACAAAAGTGCTCAGATCATGCCCAACTTGAGGTGGCACACACCTGTGGTCCCAACTACTCAGGAAGCTGAGGCAGTAGAATCACTTGAGCTCAAGAGTTTGAGGCCAGCCTGGGCAACATAGCAAAACCCTATCTAAAAGAAAAGAAAAAGCTGGGTGTGGTGGTGCATGACTGTAATCCCAGCACATGGGAGGCTGAGGCAGGAGGATTGCCACATGTTCGAGGCCAGCCTGGGCTACATAGTCAATTAAAGGCCAGCCTGAACTACATAGTGAGACCCTGTCTCAAAAAAAGATAATAGAAAAGATAATAAATGTTAAAAGTTGGTGGGTCCAAGTAAGGCCCTTTCCAGGAGATAGACTGAAAATGTTCCCCAGACAGGGAGTCACACTCTACCCTCTCACTCTTCCCAGGAAATCGGGGATGTGGAGAATTGGGCTCGGAGCATTGAGCTGGACATGAGAACCATTGCCACCGCCCTGGAATACGTCTACAAAGGGCAGCTGCAGTCTGCCCCCTCCTAGCCCCTCCGCCCTCCCCCTTCCCTCCAGTAGGGACAGGAGGAGACTGATGGGTCATGAATAAAATGCAGCGTCCATTTCTTTTTTTCTTTTCTTTTTTCTTTTTTTGGTACCAGGGATCAAACTCTGGTTCTTGTGCTTGCGAGGGAGGTGGCAGAATCACTGAGCTAAATCCCCAGGCCTGCAGCATCCATTTCTATGTGGTGTACTCCAAGGAGCTACTGGCTTCATGTGGGGGTGGGAGTGGAAAGGCCAGAGGTTGCTTCCTCCTTACTTCTTTTACTGTCCCGGCTTCTCTCCTCCTTGACCTGGTGCGTATTGGGTAAGCAGAGGGTGGAAGCTACTCTTATAGACAGTCCTAGTGCCCCCATGCCACATTTCCCAGTTCTGGACTTCAGTGTCCTGCAGTCTGCAAGCCTGGTTCCAGTTCTGGCTCCCTGCCTCTCACCTCGTGCTCATGGCCTCTCCCAGCCTGGCACTAAGCAGTGTCATGTGTCTGGACTAGGTGAGAGATTAATCCTTGGGGGCATTTCAGGGCTGAGAAGAGAAAGGAATGACAGGTCCAAGACCACCAAGAGAGCAGGGCAGCTGCCATCCCTGACAGCTCCTCCCCCTGGGAGGCTAGAGCAGGGATGGTGAGGAACCAAGACTGAGGACAGCCCAGAAAGAGCATGCGCAGATCTGCCCTCTGCCAAGCCCCTGGCTCCTCCTCCGGGGACCTCCTCCACTCCGTTCCACATGCACTTAACACCCCTTCAGACTTCGACCTTTGCCATAGCTAGTGTAGGAGCCGGGAAGACCGGGAGCAAGGCAAAAGCAGCAGCTTTGCATGTTGTAATATCTGCCTGTTCTCCCTTGGAGAGGTAAGTGGAACACCGGGCCGGGAGCTGAGGGTGTGCCGAGAAGATAGCTGGAATGACACGTATTGATAACTGAAGGCTTTTGGCTTTGAACGTCCTTCGTGACACATTGTGCCTTCCATCCGCCACAACCCCAAGGTTGTGTAGCTGGACCTGCTACAAGAGAAACCAAGTTCAGAGATGCAGTGAGGTACGCAGCATCACACTGCAAGTTTGCGGCCATGGGGACTGAAATGCAGGGCTCCTGGCTCTATATATGGTTCCAAAAATAAGGCTGTGGTTACATTTAGAGGATTTCAGTGTCCCTGGTTTAGTAAGAGAAAGTGTGAGGAAGAGCCTTCTCCCAAACAGCAGATACACGCACAGGACCTAGCTCACTGGTGTAGCTGCATTTGCCACAAATACAGGGGTCTTCCCATGCCTTTGTTTTGCACAATAAGCCATAGTTTGCCAATAATCTGCCAAATAAATAATTTCTCAATCTGCTCAAACCAGACACCAGCTGGGACGATGTTAGGGGCAAGGCTTTAAGGGCTGGAATAAACAGGCTTTGAATAAACAACAGGCTTTCCTGCCCAGCCTAGGCTGCCACCTGCAGGCCATCTGGGTCCAGCCATGTGGCTCCCTCTGCTGCTGGGTGCCCTGCTCTGGACAGCACTGTGGTTGCTCAGAGATTGGCAAAGGCTGCCTGCCAGCAGTCCCTTCGTCTTTGTCACCGGCTGTGACTCAGGCTTTGGACGCCTTCTGGCACTGCAGCTGGACCAGAGGGGCTTTCGAGTCCTGGCCAGCTGCCTGACCCCATCTGGGGCCAAGGAACTACAGCAGATGGCCTCCTCTCGCCTCCACACCACCCTGCTGGATGTCACTGATCCCCAGAGTGTCCATCAGGCAGCCCAGTGGGTGGAGACACACGTTCAGGGAGCAGGTGAGTGGTAGAGCCACCAGGAAGGTGGTGCTCCTGACCCCTCCGGTGACCCCAGCAGCTCCTTGTAGAGGCTGGGGGAAGCTAGAGGAGTAGTGGGGAGGAGTGGTAGGAGGTTGTGGCGCTGCCCTACATCTGTCTCGTGTCCACAGGGCTTTTTGGTTTGGTGAATAATGCTGGTGTGGCGGGCATCATCGGACCCACACCCTGGCTGACATGGGAAGACTTCCACCAGGTGCTGAATGTGAACACGCTGGGTCCCATCAGGGTCACCCTTGCCCTGCTGCCCCTGCTACAGCAGGCCCAGGGCCGAGTGGTCAACATCACCAGTGTCCTGGGTCGCCTTGCGGCCAATGGTGGGGGCTACTGTGTCTCCAAGTTCGGCCTGGAGGCCTTCTCGGACAGTCTGAGGTGAGAGAACACGGGGCTCCGGGCTCCAAGCCTAAGTGGCACCCCACTGAACAAATCCGGGCAGGAGGTTTAGCTCAGTGGCACCAGTGCCTGCTTGGCAAGTGCAAGGTCTTGAGTTTGATCCCCAGCTCTGCAAAAATAAATAAATAAATATTGGCTCAAAGATTAAAAATAAATAAATAAATGAGCACCTGCCCAATGTAGCCCAACAAAGATGATTAAGACACAGCACAGTGGAAAATTTATAAGGACATAGTTTTTAATTTGGGGAGTCTTTGTTGTTTATTGAGAAAGCATCTCACTGTGTAGTTTTAGGCTAGATTGAACTCATGGCAGTCCTCCTGCCTCAGCCTCCAGGAATTACAGGCATGCTCGATAAGCTTTGTGACCTTAAGCAACTTACTTCTCTTTACCTGTGTTTTCTTCATCGTTAAATCAGGATAAGATCTGCCTGGTGGGTATTGGGATTGAAATTAGGTATGTAAAACAATCTAACAGTGGGGCCGGGATTTAGTTCAAGTGGTTCCTCTGCCTGCCTCTCAAGCAAAGGGTCCCAAGTTTCATCCCAGGTACCCAAAAAAATGAATCCAACAGTGGCTAGCACATGATAACTTCTCAAAAAAAATCTATCACTGGGCCAGGGATTTAGCTCAGTAGTTCTGCTGCCTGCCTCGAAAGTGCAAATTCCCAAGTTCAATCCCCATACCAAAAAACAAAACAAAACAAAAAAAAACAAACCTAACATCATTAGTAAGAAAAAAATTAGAGCCAGGCAGGGTGGTACACACCTGTAAGACCAGGACTCTGAAGAGGATCACAAGTTCCAGCCCAGCCTAGGTAATTTAGCAAGACCCTGTCTTTGAAAAAAAAAAAAAGCTAAGGGTGTAGCTTAGTGCAAAAACCCTGGGTTCATTCCTCAGCACCAGAAAAAAAAAAAAAAAAAAAAAGCAAACAAAGCCAGGCACGTTGACACACATTTGTAAGCCCAGTATTTGGGAGGCTAAGGCAGGATTGTTGAAGTTCAAGGCCAGCCTCAACTACAAAGAGACCCTGTCTCCAAAAAAAACAACATAGCTGGGCATGGTGGTGCATGCCTGTAATCCTAGCACTCAGGAGGCTGAGGCAGGAGGATCGCTGTGAGTTCAAGACCAGCCTGGGCTACATAGTGAGCTCCAGGTCAGTCTCTACATAGTGAGATCCTGTCTCAAAAAAACATAAAAGGGGCTGGGAATGTAGCTCAGTGGCACAATGCCTGCCTCAAAAGCACAAGGTCCAGGGCCAGGGATTTAGCTC